CCAAAGCAAAGCTTGCCGTTACGTGAAAAGGTGCCTCTGTGAGTTAATTCCAGTTTTCACATATATATCTCATGATTGCTCTCTCCCTGTTCGATGCACAATTCGGTTCATTCCTACCCCCTTCGCCATCTTAGAAGCCTGCTAGGAGCCGCTTCTTGTCCAAGCCCTCTGGCCCCGGTGACTACTCCCCACCCTCGTCGGATTGGGTCGTTACAAGCCCACTAGCTTCCGCGTGGTTCGTCTACGAACCACGTACCTACTAGAGGGGGTCCTGCTATGATATCAATTAAACGAGGATGTCACGCCTCGACCCTCAAGCACGCGACAACCCCTATATCACTTATGTCAATTGAATACGATGTCCCAGGACTCGTCGTCGATCCATTCTTTTTATCTTTCAATTAAATGCATGCGGATGCAACAACAATCACCCAATCATAACAACCTGTTTAGCGATATGCACGAAATTTTCGGAAAAGGGGTTAACGGGCTGAGAATTGATGCCCACGAAGGAGCGGGCCGGACGAAGGCCCAATGGCCCTCAAGTCCATTGAGGTTCGGCCACCTTGGGCCCAACCAAGCCCAAGTGGGCCCAATCAAGCCCATGAGCCATTCTAGCCCATTCTCTATCCTTTTAAGCCCAAACTTGATTTATACGAGCCCATACAAAATTCTAGCCCATAAACGCATATAGTATTTTATACTATACTTTGTGAAAAGACCATTTTTGCCCTTCTTACATTAGATGAGAAGTGACAAAAGAGGAGTGAAAGTCTTGGATATTAATGAGGGGAAATGATGAATTTTTGGGGACTTGAACTTGGTTTGAAGAAGAAGCCTTGCTAGAGAGAAATATCTCTCATTTTCTCTCACTCACTCTCACCCTCACTCCCTCTTGCACCGCCCCCTCCTCTCTCCATTCTCTCTCTCATCTTCTCTCTTGGTCTTCATCTTTTCCTCTTGATTCTCCCTGTTGCTGCCCCCTTTGCCACCGTGCATCACCACCGCCTCCCGACGCCGCCGCTTTGAGCCGTCCGTGTGCCGTCCTCCGCCCGTGCCGCCCGTCCAAGCCACCACCGCCAACCGTCTCTCTCTCTCTTCCTCGCGGGCGCCCTCACCAAACCACTGCCGCCCTCCTCTCTCCTCGCCATGAGTTGCCGTCGCCCTTCACCGTTTTCAAGCGAAGCCGCTCGTCACTCGTGCCGCCGCTGTCGTTCTCGCGCAACCGGCATTGTTAATGGGGGAGTTAACGCTCTGATCCCTTGATTAGTATGTTAAACTTACTTAGGGTTAGATTATACTAAGTTAATTATGCTTAGTGTTGATTAATGAGGGATTAGTTGATAGGCTATCGCGATAAGTGATAGGCAGAAGTGATAAGCTATCGCGATAGGTGATAAGTGGACTTGATAGGTTATCGAGAAAATGTGATAGGCTATCGTCAAAAGGATGATAAACTATTGCCGAAAGGGTGATAAGCTATCGTCGAAGGGATGATAAGCTATCGGAAAAAGGAGTGATAAGCTATCAATAAGTGGATGATAAGCTATCGCCAAATAGGCGATAAGTTATCGAGAAATGATTGATAGGTTATCGTTGTGGTGATAAGTGCTGTTTTATATATGATTTATACTCGAGTTGTATGAAATTTCTATGTACGTTTCATGTTATTTAAAACCTACTTTGCCATGAAAAATATTTGCCAAATGTGAAACCTTGTTTGCTAATTTTAAAGAAAAACAAGGGTTTTTGTGGACATATAAATGGTAAACCCCGAGGTGTCGGGTTCGTATGCCCTGTTTTATGTATTAAATGGGGCAAGGATATTTAAAAGGAAAAGCATGCAAAGTTTGATGGGTTAATTGTATGTGCATGGCCGCGTGTGATTATTTTACTGCATTTTTATGTACAAAAATTGCAGTAGTTTATTATTGGGAGCACGAACCCCGTCTGCATTGTCTAATTGTTGAGAAATAAAATGGGCTTGAGTGGTAGTTGTGCTCGTGTGGTCACATAAAGGAACCCGTCACCCAACGGGAGTTTGGAGACGATGTCCGATTTTTCTTTTTATCGGATGTCCGGCGGGGGTTCGGATGCCGAATCGTGGTTGAGGTTGGACCGATACTCCTTTATGGAATGCCATATGTGGCGGGGGTCCCAGACATTGCCGTGCTCGATGAGACGGGACGATGCCCGGTCATGTCGGAAGACCGCCAGCCCTTGGGTTGTGCCGTGGCCCTGAGTGGTCGTAATAATTAGAACACGCATGAGTGCATTGTGCATGGGGAAGCTAGCTAAGTGTTCTGATTATGTTATATGCTTATTGCATTGTTTGTGGCACGTGATGGCTTATGTCGTGCAGAGTGTGTGCCAAGGCAAGGTAAAGATGCCTGCGGTTATTCGATGGCTTGTTTGTTTATGCTGGATTGAATTGCCTACTCCTGTATATAGTTAATGCAAAGCGAGGGTCGTTTTGCTATTGATCTGCCATCTACATATCGCTGCATATTTTAGGTGCAGCCGAAGCGAGTTGACTTTCTAAACGAGCCTTAGGTTATTAACTTACTAAGATTTATATCTCATTCGTTGTTGTTAACTGTTCTCCAAGGCCTTGGAATGGCGAACCACTCGAGGCGGTTTGGGGTGTCGCAGGATATGGACAGTATTATTACTATCCATCATTTTCTCGGCATGTCGCATCTTTTTTAGTACCAACTGTCTACTGTGTGGGTGGATGAGGGTCTAGCCACGTGGGTCCCTTATCAGTTCCAAGCATGGTTCATCCGTGAGGGCGAGGACCTGTTCGGTCCTCTGAGGGGCTTCGATGGTCCTCCAGATGGGGGCTCTAGGCAGGAGGTCTGAGACCCTATGAAAATTGACCCACTTGACGAGTCAGCGGAGTGTCTCGAGACCAACCCTGATCTTGTGTACCCGTCGGATTACGACCCGTCAGAGCATGATCCCGACTCACCCTATTTTGACTAGCAATCCCGCTATTTTGATAGTACTTAAGGGACATGCCTAGGACCTGTTCTTTTTGGATGACCCACTTTTGGATGGAGTAGATTGAACCCCAGCCCAGTATCTTTTTGGTAGGCTTGTGAGGAAAGGCACCCTTGAAGGGCTTGTAAATGTGTTTCCTTGGGGTTAATCAAGTGAGTAAATAAAATGGCGCTTTAGCATGATTGTTGTTAATTGTTATTACTATCCCTGCTATTTGTTGTTATGACTGGGTGATTATTGTCTCTTCCGCATGCGTTTAATTGAAATATAAAAAGAATCGGTCGGCGACGAGTCCTAGGACATCGCATTCAATTGACCTAAGTGAAATAGGGGTTGTTGCGTGCTCGAGGGTCAGGGCATGACACTTAATTTTGGAGATTAGGTGCTAACTTTTGTCATTATGTCAAAAGGCACATCTTGTCAATTTCACATATATAATCCAAGAACGATTTCGCTAGTTTGATGTGAAATTTGGTTCATTCTTACCTCTTTTGTCATCCTAGAAATTTATTAGGAGCCACTCCTTGTTAAAACCCTCTTGTCCTGGTGATCATTCTCTATCCTTGGAGGACCGAGTTGTTATAAATCCGGAATGGATTGAGCTGAAAAGCTGACCGATAAATACAAGAATAGAGACGCCAAATAGGTTCAAAACAATAGTTACTTTCACAAAAGCAAATGTCGACTTTCCCTATCGGCTAAAAGGGTATTGTCCTCCAATACCATATACGTGCCCGAATAAGCCGAGCTATAACAGTTGGTCAGCCATTCCAAAACCTGCATACATGGCATCATCAAATAAACATGAAAGCATATAGTCACTTGTACATGCATACACATTAAGCTATGCATCCATGCCAATGTTCAACATATCATCACATGACACAACATGTCATTCCACGACATACTATCACATCGTACGACAATTCATCATATGACGTGTCATCACACGACACGTCGTTATATGAGATTATAGATTATCATACAACATGTCATCACGAGACACAATCTCACATTACATGTTACATATGCTAAGTCGTCGTCATGCATACATGGGTTCATGTTTTCAAAATACACAAACACACCTGGCAGATGAAGTATTCCTAGGGTAACATGATGCGAACCTTTTTCTCGACCGAACCAATCAAAATTGCCTTCATGTTTTGGAAACCAAATGATAGAAGAACTTAAAGGATATCATCGAAAATATGGTACTAAAAGGGTGTTATAAGGATGCTAATAAACGAACTCTCGGGTCATAGATCTCTGATTCTGTGATTTGCATACCTAGATAGAATACTTCCCTAGAAACTATTTAGTGACCATGTCGTGGTTGTTTGTTGAGGCCTTCAATTGCCTAATGAAGGCCATTACCCTCTTGCGCCCTTAAGTAATAGAATGTTCTAAACTTTTGTAATTTCACATCCTACCTGATTAACAAACTATTCTTTATACCTCGAATTTTATATTACAAATTATAATTTGTATTATCTGACATTATCCAATATATTCGAAATCCATCGCCAAACACCTAATAGGAGAATTCATATTGTATTTACCATCGCTATCAAATACCTCTTTTAATTTAAGAGTTCATTTGGTTGGTTAAAATATTTTCGATTTTATTTTTAGTGGGATCTACTAAGTTTACCATAAACCTATCGAAATCATGATTGAATTGGATTATAGTGCATGCAAATGAAATAATCCATTCATGATAGGCAAATGAATAAAACTTGGCTGTTAGATGCTTACCTAATCGTCTTGTGCTAACCGTGATAAACTGGTCGCTCTGAAAATTACCCAACCTAACGTCGTCCATTCTTTTCCAACGTTTTGTCCACTACATCTACCTAGGGGTCAATCCAGATTCGCTGGATAACACCGAGTTGGACAAAACTCGCCCATACGGACAAAACACGAACCCGGGACTCGCAGTGCGCCTTGCGACAAGGACAGGTCTTCGTCAACCCCTAAATCATAAAGTAAAGGTGTGCCAGGGCTCGCCCTTCCTAAGAAATTTCCCATAAACTTCAAGTACCACTTTTATCAAAAGAGTCTCTCTCACCTTTCCGTTCATCTCAGCTCTCCATTGTTGCTTCAAAGACCAAAAAGCTAACCTTCCTTCTTGCCCCTGCAGAAAAACCCAGAATAAAAAGCAGAGAGAAGCATCCTCTGCAAATCTTGGGACGTGGGTTTCAGTTCTTCGAAGCATCCTTGCGACCCATCAAAGCTTTGGATTTTCTAGGCTTGTCTGGTCTGCGCAGAAAGAGAAAACAAGAAATGGTTAATGCCTCAGATGGTGTTGTGGGAGCAGTATTCGGTGAGTTGTTTGGGATCGTTAAGCACCTTGTGAAGACTGTTGTCGTGTTTCGTGGCAATCTCAAGAAGATCAAGGACACTTTGAGCTCCATAGAACCGATCATCAATGAGATCGACAAGTACAACAATATGCTGGAGCATCCGCAAGAGATGCGTCCGATCAAGGACCTTTTGGAGGAAGGTAAAGGACTGGTCAACAAGTGCTCGAAGATCCACATGCTCAACTTGTGCACGACGTATACGCACTCGAAAAAGCTGACCCACTTCAATGCGGCAGTCCTGGAGAAGTTCCAAATTTACATGCCCCTGCTGAATGTGATGACTAGCAAGGAGACATCGGTAAAGGTGACGGAGATAGGGGGAGACGTGAAGGAGTTGTTGTCCGTGCTATCGAATAGTGCGGCTCACCAGAGCGGGCTTGAGACTATGGGCAACCTTGCCGTCCCTGCGGCGCCCCATTTCATTGTCGGGCTGGAGATGGAGGCGTCCTTGAGCAAGCTCAAGGAGCAGCTGCTTAAGGAGGGAGTCTCTGTGATTGTTGTGACTGCCCCAGGCGGCTGCGGGAAGACCACTCTGCTTAAGAAATTGTGTCATGAAGTGGCAATTGAAGGTATGTGTGATTAGTGCTTTGATTGATCCAGAACTAAAAAAAGTAGGGATGAATTTATAGATTTGATCCTCGCCAATTGGTCACCTCTCATAGTCTTTTGGTGAGCCATTTATGGTAAAAATTACCAAAAGTGTTCTAAACATATTGTGCAGATGCCAATTTAGTTCTAAATCTTTCAATTTTGTCAATTAAATTCTAAACCTTTTGACAAATTACCAATGCAGTTCTTCCGGTTAATTTTAGCCAGAAATCACTAATGTGGACGTCGGCTGTCTTACGTGACACGGCCGACATTAACATGGACAATTTTTGCATTTTTCAAAAAAATTTCTGAATTTTTTAATAAAATTTGTTTTTCCTTTTTCTTTTTCTTTCTTTATTTTCCTTCTAAAATCTGCGAGGTTTGTCGGCCAACCATGGGCGAGTGTTGGCCGCCAACACTGCCGGACTAAGTAGAAAAAAAAAAGGAAAAACTACAAGAATTTATAAAAATTCAGGAAATTTAAAAAATTAAAAAATTTATAAAAATTATCTACATCAGCACCGACCGTCTCATGTCAGCAATTTTCTGCCAAAATTGGCAAATCATCAAAAGCTTTTAAGACTCAATTGGCAAAATAGAATTTGACAAAAAAATTGACAAAATTGAAAAGTTTAGAACTGAATTGACATCGTATAATAGATTGAATATTTTTTTGTTAATTATCCCGCTACTTATGTGTACAGGAGCTGTTGCCTGAATGATGTTCCTCTTTTGGACATACGTGAATGATTGAATTCCTTTACATGTTCTCTCTGTCAAGCAATTCAGTTTCTGGTAGATGTGAATGTTAGCACAAAGAATTGCTTGGGTATTATGCAGATGGATGTTTCATCAAGAAGAATCTTTTTCTCATCGTTCCATTTTGGGTTTGATATCATGTTCAATCTGATAGATCTTTCGCAAGCTTTTAGATATGCAATAACTCTCCTCTGTTTCATTGCGCTGAGCACCTTTCTTAATTAGCTGAACCCTCCAGTTCACAGCCGTATGCTTCAGACTTATTATTTCTGCTATATGGTGTCTACTTAGCTCTGTTTTTGGTCCTACCGAATTCATTAAACGAAAAGTGCCGTGGCAAAATTTCATACTCTTTGCAAGCGATAGGAGTCTCTTACTGTGGTTTCCATATAGGCAAATTTGAGGACAAAATCATGTTCGTCCCTGTCTCGAAGAAGCCCAACCTGAGAGATATTGTCCAGAAAATGTATCAACATAATCGTTTCAAGGTACCCGAGATTAAATCAGACGAGGATGCAGTTCATTGCTTGCAGCAACTTGTCAACAAAATAGGACAAAATCCTGTGTTACTTGTGCTGGACGATGTCTGGAAGGAATCGGAATCCATCATCGACAAATTTGTCTGCGATGATATCAAAGATTACAAGATTGTGGTGACATCAAGATACGAGTTTCCTCGTTTTCGTCCTGTGCATCACCTGAACCCACTAACTCATGACGAAGCCATGGAACTTTTTCGTCAATGTGTTACTGTCGATGATAGAAGCATGGGTGCACCAGATGCTAAGCTCTTGAATCAGGTATACTCTTGCTTGCGTGCATCAATTATAGGATTTCTTATGGTCATCGAAACTCTGGGTCAATTTTTTCTTTCAAGAATATGTTTAATAAAATCAAACCTGCCTATCCTTACTTTCATCTCTCTTTCATCAAAGAGAGGCCTTGCTTTGTACTAATCATGATTCCTATCAAGAGACCAATATTTCTCATCTTTTTTTCCTGTGGCAGATAGTGGAACACTGTAAGCGATTGCCATTGGTTATTAAAGTCGTTGCCAAGTCTCTCCGAGGAAAGGATTATGCATTCTGGAGAAAAAAGCTTCATGAATTGTCCGAAGGTCATTCCCTTCTTGATTTGGACAACGAGATACTAGCTTGCCTCAAAAAGAGCTTGGACGACTTGGATGGTGACCCCTTGATCAAGCAACGTTTCATGGACCTCGGCTCATTTCCAGAGGATTGCAAGATCCCCGCCACTGCCCTTATTGATATGTGGGTGGAATTGTACAAGCTAGATTCCGATGGTGTGCGCGCCACTCCTGACCTCCATGAACTCGATTACAGGAACCTAGCTGATCTCGTAGTACCCAGGTATGGCCCTGAAGTTCATTTTGTTCTCTCAACCAACTTTTGTAGTTTTCTACTACTATAAGAATTTCTCATCGGATTGTAGTCGGCATATGATTAGTTTTTTTTATACGTGACAGAATGCGTGTGAAATGGACAAATGCATGATAAGATCTCTGCACCAAGATTGAGAGAATAATTTATGCCATTTGATGACCCATAGCCAACCCCAAAAGGTTAAGATTTTCCATAGCGCTACGAACTATCCTGTTCCCCAAAGATGCGCCATTCTAGTTGAATCCACACCACAATTACTGCACCTGACCTTCAGCTGTAGTGTGTTCTGCATTGTAACGGTCAAAAGAGTTATACATAGGCCTGTAAAGAGCATTTCTAACTCCTGACTTAATTTCTCAAGGGTGGGAATGATCAATGTCTTCCTTTTCTATTGAATTGATATTATCAAATGGGGCACTAGAATTTAGCTCAAGAAACTCAAGCACAAATGCTTATATCCAAGTGTTTGATTTCATACAAACAGGAGAGATTCAAGAGACGACGACGAATCTTACCGTAGCCACTATGTTATGCAGCATGATCTGCTCAGAGAGCTGGCTATCATGGAGTGCAACCAGGGGGAAGTAGAGAAGAGAGAGAGACTCATTCTGGACTTGATGGGAAATAACTTTCCCAACTGGTGGAGAGAGCAAAAGCAGCAACCTCTCCGTGCTCGTCTAGTGTCCATCTCCACAGGTTAGTATCTCTCTCTCTCTCTCTCTCAAAGATCTTTAGGGAAAAATTCAACTGGTCGGTAGTTACTAGCTTCTAACCTTCTTCGATCATAATGCAGATGGAAAATTCTCAACACCTTGGCTAAATCTCGAATTGCCTGAAGCTGAGGCTCTTGTCTTGAATTTCCAGACCAACATGCAAACCAAAACCTATGCTTTGCCTGAATTCATCGCGAAGTCCCACAAGCTCAAGGCCCTGATAGTAACAAACTACAGTTTCTTTCCCGCTGAGTTGGGCAATTTCCATGTCATCGAGTCCAATTTAAGGAGGATCCGGCTTGAGCGCGTCACGGTTCCTTTCCTAAGCATGGGAAAAATACGCTTGCACAGTTTAAAAAAGATATCCTTTTTCATGTGCGATATCAGTCAGACTTCGACATCGAACGACGCCAAAATCTCAGATGCAATGCCAAACTTGGAGGAGCTCGACATTGACTATTGCAACGATCTTGTGACATTACCGGATGGCATCTGCGAGATAAAGCCTTTGCGGAAGCTTAGCATCACAAACTGCCATAGTTTCTCCGCTCTCCCCGAACAACTCGGGCAATCGGCATCCCTCGAAGTAATCAGGCTTAACTCCTGCACAAACTTGTCGCGGTTTCCAGACTCGATTAGAAGCCTCCAAAACTTGAGATTTCTCGATATATCTGATTGCCTAAATCTAAGCGCCTTGCCTGATCAAATTGGTCAAGTGGTTAATCTCGAGAGGATAAACATGAAAGGGTGTCTGAGGTTGTCTGGGTTGCCAAGGTCGATCGTGAAGTTAAGGAACTTACAAAAGGTGGTTTGTGAGAATGAAAAAGCCGTCATGTGGGGGCCTCTTCAGGACACTCTCACTGGCTTGGAGATAACTCTGTTTGAAGAAGAAGCTAGCTTAGATTGGCTGCATGATTAAGACGGGGTAATGATATCGACAGTGCATGGACTTTATTTCAATATTGAACTTTGTTTTTGAACTTTTAAAGGCAATCTCATGTTGGTGCTGAGCAGCTCTTTAAAAGGCTCCATCTCCTAAAATCTCTCACTTAAGTCTTAGGGATATAAAACCCCAAGGGGATACTACCTCTTCCCCAGGAGTAGTAGGGTTGGTCGGAAGGCACCCCAAGGTAGCAATGATGCTTACGGTTAAAGGTGACCATTAAAAACCCTAAGGGGATCATCCCCCGGTTACCTTTAACTTCACGCGCTCTTTTCTACAATGTGACTAGTCAAATGCCAATCATATTTTTTAATAGGGATAAATGTACTAGAAGCCTTAAAATTTGTGGAAAGTACAATTGAGTTCTAAAATTTTAAACGAGTTTAATCAAGTCTTAAAATTTATCAAATTTGTGCAATCAAGTTTTTTCGTTAACACATTCAGTTTGCCTAACGGAAAATGCTGACGTGTCATTATTTTCATTATTTTCTTCTCTATGTGACATTTTTTATTATTTTATTCTCTAAACCTTCAAATCTTACTAAAATTAAATTAAAATATACAAAAAAATGCTAAAATTTTATTATAAAACCCAAGTTAAAAAAAAAGGATAAGGGCCCTTGCCGTCGGACCATCGCCGTTGCCGCCAATTACCAGAAAGGTCCGGCGGCCCTAGATGAGGGCCGGCGACCTTGCCAAATTTGGGTCACCCAGATCTGGGTGAGGTCACCGACCCTTTTCGACGATGGGTGCTGGTGATGGTCCACCGGCAAGGACCTCCTGTTCTTTCTTTTTTTTCAACTTGTTTTTCTTTTTTCCGTTTGATTGTTTAATTCAATTTGAGTAAGATTAGACAAGATAATAATAAAAAATGCTACATTGGCATTTTTCGTTAGCCAAAGTTTATAGAAGGACTTAATTGCACAAATTTGATAAGTTTGAATATTTGATTGCACTTTTTGAAAGTTTAAAAACTCAATCGAACTTTTGCGATAAGTTTTAAAACTTTGAGAGTACTTATCCCTTTTTAATATTGTCAAGTGAGAGATTTTTTCTTTTTTGATATTTTCTTCTTTCCATTTATTTCTTTCTTCCTTTCTCCTTCCTCCTCCTCCTACCACCAATAACGCCCTTGCAATACATAACCACCGTTTCCCTACCATCACCGTCGTCGTTGACGCCTAACTTTTAGGGCCTTACCACCACGACCTTTGCAGTATCACTTTTTTTTCTCTCTCTCTGACCAGAAGATTCTCTCTATCTCTTAAATATGAGGTGCAAACTCAGATCTGAGCAGTTGCAACATATTCAAGGTCATGACGGCCTTAAATCTTTTGGGACTAACTATGCAACCTAAAGGGGGGGTGAATAGGTTGCTATGGAAGATTTTATAACTTTTGCGGAAAACAGTGTGAGATGAATAAGTATCAGGTTACACCAAATGTACAAGAAACAATGTATCACTTGTATGCTGGAAATGATAAATAGAGGAATAAGCAACTGCACATAAGGATATATAGTGGTTCGGCTTTGATTTCAAGCCTACGTCCACTGTCATCACTAATAGCCACAAGTTAGGCTGGATTGCACTAGTAATTTGCTGATCAAGTTACACTCAGCATACACCACTCCTATCAGTTTGTGGATCACACTACCAAAAGGTGAATGCAGCCATCACTTGGTACACTTGAATTTTCAACACAATTACAATGTAGCAAGTGCTATCGACAGACATGAGCTTATAGCTTAGTACACAGCAAGAAGTGAATTTCGGAGAATTACAAGCTCGCAATCTCTCTCTCTCTCTCTTTGGCTTTAAGAACCTTGTTTTTTTATGGGCATCTTCAAACTGGTTGTTGATGATGTCTGGGAGAGGCAAGGTAGCTGTTAGAGTCGTTGGTGCTACCGTCCTCGGAACTGACTACCCATGTAGCCTACTCCTGAACTTTTGCAGACTTTCCTAAAATAGCTTCTGCTGCTATACTGTAGCTGCAATTTTGACTACCTGTCAGACTAATTGTTCTCCTTTCTGTCGAATCTTCTGTTGTGCCTGTCCAGTCCCAATGGCTACAATAGTGAAATAACGATTATATTAAATGATCCGTTACCTAAACATTACCATTTACGGGATCTTTTCAGCTTCAACAAAAACATCGTCATTTAGCTGATCTTTATGATCGATGGTGCCGTTTGTACGATCCTTGAAGGATAGTCTTGTGATATTTTCTTTAATAAATAACATTATGAGTATTACTCAGTCCTTTGAATATATTTGCACTTAGACAATGTAGATATTATACTAAGGATAGTTTGAGTATCATCAAAATTCATTTGGAGATGTTTATCCAACAAAATCGAATGTCGCAACCTCGAATCGGAGGTTACATACCTCGAATCAAATGAGAGACAAAGGTGCTTGCAATGTCCTCTGCGGGCGAGAAAATATTGGGTATCTCTTGTGATTCCACCATGGAATAATACCAGCCCTGAGGTCACGACACGTGTCCGAGAGGACCTACCGTGTCAGGCTCCACGACACAATTGTAGCTAGGGAGAAAATTTTTGAAAAAAAAGCAAGCGCCTTCTCTCTCTCTCTCTCTCTCGCGCTTTCCATCCAATTTCCAGTTCTGCGTTTCTCTCTACACTCCGTCTCCCTCACGCCGTGCTGAAGCCTACGCCAATGCCGCCTCCGATGAGCGATGCCCTAGCCTCCACCTCCGCCCTAGCCTCCGAAACCTCCGCCGACACCAATGACACCTTTGTCTTAGCCGTCGCCCGACGCTCTAGCCGCTGTCCTAGGCATCAATGCCGACGATGAAGCCCGACGCTGACGCCCTAGCCGCTGCTCTAGGTGTCAACACTGACAACAAAGCCCGACGCCGACGCCCTAGCCGTTGCCCTAGGTGTCAACGCCCCCTGGCCGTAGCCAACGCCCCCTGGCCGTAGCCAACGCCGACGCCGCCTCCGACTAGTGAGGTCCGCCGCTGCCCACGAGCAAGGTCCGCCGCTGCCCACGAGCAAGGTCCGCCGCCTACCACGAGCAAGGTCCGTCGCCTCCGATGATCGAGGTCTGTCTCCTTGTGCCGATGCCTCGCCCTAGCCTCCGCCCTAGCCTCCAACGCTAACGCCATCGCCCGATGCCCTAGCCACTACCCTAGACATTGATGTTCTCTGCCTTTCCCTTGACTTGCTCTGTAGGCGTCGCCTCCGCATGAGACGCCGATGCCGACGCCGCCTCCAACAAGCGAGGTTCGCAGGCTCCGACGAGCAGGTTCGTCGCCTCCACACCGACGCTTTGCCCTAGCCTCCGACACCCTAGCTGTTGCCCTAGGCATCGATGCCCTCTGCCTCCGCCTTGACTTGCTCTATAGGCGTCGATGCCATCTGCCTCCGCCTCGACTTGCTCTATAGGTGTCACCTTCGCACTAGCCGAAGCCGACGACGTCACCCTAGCTGTAGCCGATGCCTCCGCCTCCGCCTCGATGCCCTGCAGTTCTCGTTGCAGTCGACGAACCACGTTGCCGCACACCCCTGCCTCCGCCATAGTCTCGAGAGAGGTACATATGTACTCCATTTGATTTCTTTCTTGTGCTAGACCTGAAATTGTTAATGCTTGTTGATTTCTTGTTGTCGAATGGGTGGATATCCGAATGGATCGATATTTGCTCCTTAGCCCACTGCTCACTTTGTGTTTGAAGAAATGCTAAGCCAAATCTGTTCAGTGTTTGAGGTTTTGACGTTGCTAGACCGAATGGACAGGGTAGTGCTTGCGAAAATTTTTCGATACATGAGAATGAATGGTGTGCTGCATTGCATGAAGCGTAACTTGCCGTTCATTGTTTGAGCTCCTTAGAATGAATGGTACTGCATCACATATGAATGGACAGGGTAGTGCTAGACCGAAAGCATGTATGACAGAGCTAAGTATGAATGACATCTTTCTATCCAAAAAAAAGAATGGTTGAGGTTTTGACATTGCTAGACCGAAAGCATGTCCTATTCTCCACATAAATTACGAATCATTGTCGGACCGTCTATTCATTAGTGAGTTTTTGCGTTGGCATAATGGCCTTCGTGTATATGTCTTGCTATATCTCATCCAATGGACTGAATTACAAGAGATTGAAATCGAGTTGATGAAAATGGTAGTGCTTCGGTGCTGTGATGCCCCCATGTGGTGCTAAAAGTAGGTTGTTGCCTTGAAGGATATCTGGTAATAAAAAAGAAAATACATGTTGCTGTGTGGCTGTCCTCATTCACTATGTACCTAAATCAGATTCCCATGTTAGGTGTCTTGTTGGATAGGAAACTCATATTGTCTTGACATATGGTACCGGAGTGGCTAGACTTATTCCTTGTTGAGTATTTTCACTTGTATGAGAAATAAAATTGTTATCTTGCAGGTATATGATGTCTTCATCGAGTGTGAATGAGAGTACCTAGAGCGGATTGTCCTTTAAAAATAAATTGTATAAGTGTGGTAAGCATGCTACCGTGAGAATATTAGAATCTTCAAGAAACAAATACAAGCCCTACTATAATTGTGAGTATAAAACATGTGATTTCTTTTCTTGGTGTTTGCCTACAAGCGATGGGCCTTATTCTATGACGAAGGCTTTGCCTGCAATACTTGAAGATTACATGAGAAACGTTAAGTATTTGCTTGAGCATTTGAAAGATAAACTCAAGAACACTGATGAGAAGGTGAATGTCTTGCTACTTTTTGTTTGTCTATTATTTGTTATTTTATTAGGAATACTTGTCCAAAGACAAGTACATGGAAGAAACATTATGTTGTAATGGCTATAATGGACACAATGGCATTATTTTATTGTGAAAATGCTTTCTTTTTGTTGGCATTATTATTGTTCAAATTATGGGCAATGGATGCACTTGTTTGAGGATCCTTCAAGAGTAAATTTTGGGCGAAGTTCAAAAAGAAATTTTCCCATGTTACTGCCATTTTCACAAATTTGTGGTCTAATCATGAAATGGCATTTTCACAAAAAGATAATGCCATAACCTAAACATTTCTATCATTTGCACATCCAAACTTTTTCTTCTATAAAGGACCCATCTGACCTATGTGCACCCCATCATCGCAACTGCATTGCAATCAAGTGCTTAAAATCGAACAACCGCCTTTAGATTTGTGAAACTCGTTCGCGTTCGAATCTGCATCACTCATTTCGGCAGATCTGTCATTCTTCAATACAAAATATGTCAGTAGCATTTTCTTCTCTTCTAACCAAATTTTCCTTCCTCAATATGTCCAACAAAGACATTGACCAAAATCAATTGGAACTTTGGAACATAAGAGGAATTCTATTCCTGTGTAGTTTGTAACACTAAATAACATCATTCACCCCTGAAAAAATAATCGGGGGGAGAACCAGAACTGACATGATTAGCCGGAAAGTTTTATTGCAGCAAACTCTCGGTCTGCGATTGTCAACTTTGCTCAAAAGAGGAAAACTATTTCGTAATACAAAAGACCTGGGACAGGATTGCATCCCAAAATTATTGCACAAAAAGAATAAAAACATAAATGTAAGAATAAAAAAGAATTGTGCTTAAAAGGACTGAGCCGCTCGACAACATCGTGCTCATACACTTTAAATAACAACTCTCTGCAAGGCACAACAGCCCCAAGTTCGATGCGATCATACATTGTGGAGACTAAGAATGGCAGTAATTGTTATTTTATCACAGATCCGCACTTCTGCAGGGAAAATAAACAATTGCTCTTCAGCAAGCTGTACCGGTGAGAGGGAGAAATAGTTGCGGGGCTGGACACTGCCGGGGATTTGAGAGTGTCCCATTAGATGACAAAGCCATCAAAGTTCAGAAACTATCCATAAAAAAGAACACCATTGTAACAGTGGACAGGAAGGCTTCCAACAAAATTGGCAGCTTTCTGAAAATGGTGATTTCCTGAAGCTAATGAAGAAATACCTACCAATTGTCCAGAGATTTCACGAAGTGCTTCTGCCCAACGAGATGTTGAATCTGCCATCATACTGACATTGTAGCTCATATTTTTGAAGTACTCAGCTATTGTAATGCCTAGCAATCCATACAAATAAAAGTCAAGAATCATTCAAATGTAGTCTTCAGCAAGAACTTGAATTAGTCTTAAGAATCGACAAGAAAAGAAATGACAAAAAAAGGAAACAATCATGCGTACAAAACAGGATACATTTTTCTTTATGGAGACCATGTTAAGTTTGTCCTCCATAATTGAAAAATGACATCTTAACAAACTACAAGCAATGAACAATCTCCAAATATTCAGATTAACTATCAGTTCTAAACTTTGGGTGCAAAGCATAGCCAGCCTATTTCGAAAACTTTACTTCTGCAGTAACCAAATCAAGCTAACCTTGAAAGCTAATAAACACAATTACCTGTATATATTGATGCCTCACGAGCAGCCACATGCATAATAGAAGTGTTTGCCACAAGACTTGTACGCTTCATAACTGACTCTTCCTGACCATCAGGTAATGTCATTGTCAACTGTGGAAAATCCATAAGGACCTGCATCATGAGACTTTTACAAACTCGCGATCTTTCACTCGCTAACAAAAATACTTCTTTTATTTGATGGGACGATATGCACCTCAGCCATTTCATTTCCACGTTCCCCACAGCCAACATAAACTACAGCTTCAGAGTTAGAGTACTGCAAATGAGTCAAAACTATAAAAAGTCAATAAGTAATAGCATCAGCAATACAATGAAACTACAGATACAATTTCAGTGAAGATCACCTTGGAAAGAGTGACTGAAAACAGTTTTTCCACAACCAAATGCCCCGGGAATAGCACAGTTCCCCCAAAGAATGGAAGGGAAAAGTGCATGAAGTACACGCTGTCATGTGACGAAAATGTCGTGAATGAAAATATTCCAGAGGAAAAAAGACATCACGATCTGAAATTAAACTTTCAACCTGTTACCTAACTAGTAAGCAAATAGGTATCTGTAGCAAGCCTTGATGCAACTGGCCTTGCTGTACGTACATGCCAAGTCTGAAAAAGACCAAATACCAAAATTTCTCAGAAGGTTTTAAGATTTACAAACTTGTACTTTTAGTTGCTTTCTCACACCTTGGAACTCCAGCTCCAGAACAGTGTCCTACAGTTACATATAAATTAATAAAAGTAGATCCACAGCTGCATACTGTCCAACGATAATGAAGATGGAGATTCCATGTCCAAAGAGAAGTCTCTCTTCAATCAGCCATGGAATTGTTTCAAACATTCACAGTTAATAGCAAGGACGAATTATCCAAATGTCTACAACGAAGTGAAGTCCGTTCACAGAAAGGAAAATATCACAATAATTGTTAAAATATGTCTCGAGTTTGAGCCCTATAGACGAGTTCGATAAACGAAATCCGATTCGAGATTAATTATTATTTGTGGAGGTCTTAATATTCCGAAGTTTGGATTTCCTATGCAAGTTCGGAATCATGCATGCAGTATTTGGCAATTTTTGTTTACTAGTTGTAGACGATTTTATTTCCAGTTTGGAGTCCAAAGGATGTTGGACTCTGACTATAAAAGAAAGCAAATCGTGGACTTGTGTCAGATAAAGGAAATAAAATCCTACTTGAAGTCTGCCAAAGAAAGACAAAATAGGAAAGTCCAAACTTGGACTTGTTGACGGAATTTTATGGAATATCTCTTCCACGTTGAAGTCGGCCACTTTAATTTTCCTTGGGATATATAAGGGCTGGTCTTTTGCCGCAGGATTGGCATGCAATTGTTAATGAATACGTGAAGTTATTCTTGAAGCGCCGCTGGTGTGTGAGTGCTTGGCGGTGGGCAATCTTTGTGGTTTTGTTCGTGGAATTACACTAAGAGTTCAAGTGTTCGTAGCGATTAAATCTTGCGATAAGATTTGTGTATAATTCTTTCGCGAGATTGAGAGATTATTTCGTGAGGAATTGTGGGGCTAAACACTGCGTGAGTTGTTGGGTGTAATTGGGGCTTGGGAAACACTTAGAATGTTTGAGTGACTCGAGTGTGGTTGTAATCTCCGTTGTATCGCTTGATCTATAGTGAAATTCCGTGCTGCTCTCTCCGTGGACGTAGGTCACTACGACCGAACCACGTAAATCTGGTATTCGATTTTATTTTCTTGTTCTGTCAAATTTATTGTTTGATCGCTTGGCTTACGCAACAATTAGTATCAGAGCCTGGCTTGGCTGAGTTGAAGCGAATCGATGGCGACAGAATAAGGAAAAATGAGAATCGACAGATTTGATGGGAAAGATTTTGATTTCTGGAAGATGCAGATTGAGGATAATCTATATCAGATGAAACTGCACTTGCCCTTGTCTGGGGAGAAGCCAGAGACGATGAAGCAAGCTGATTGGGAATTGCTGGATAGACGAGCTTTGGGTGTTATTCGGCTGACGTTGGCACGTAATCTTGCGTTTAACATTGTGAATGAGAAGACCACTGCGGGTTTGATGAAACCCCTGTCGGACATGTACGAGAAGCTTCTGCGATCAACAAAGTTTACTTGATGCGACATCTGTTTAATTTGAAGATGAGCGAAGGTGCGTCAGTTGTTGATCATATTAATGAATTCAACGTGATCGTTAGTCAATTGAGTTCAGTTGAGATTGACTTTGAAGATGAGGTACGTGCTTTGATTCTATTATCCTCATTACCTGATAATTGGAATACTACTGTTACTGCTGTTAGTAATTCCTCTAGGTCAACAAGTTTGACGTTTGATGGTGTTCAAGATTTAATTCTGAGTGAAGATATCCGTAGAAAAGAATCTGGCGAACATGTATCTGCTGCTTTAGTAGGTGAAAGAAGAGGGAGAACTAGTACTCGTGTTAGCAGGAGTAGTATGAACTCGAATAGACGAAGTCAGTCTAGGACTGGTGCTGTTGTCTGTTGGAGTTGTGGCAAGAGGGGGCATTTTAGAAGGGATTGCCTTAAGCTGAAAAACGACAACAGTGAGGGAATTAGAGTTGATCTTGCGAATGATGTTGCAGCTATAACTGACAGTAATTCGGATAGTGCTGATTTTGTCTTGTTTGTCACTAATAATTCGTCATTTGGCGGATGGATTATGGATTCTGGTTGTTCTTTTCACGCTACACCAAACAGGAACTGGTTTACTACTTATCAATGCACGGATAGTAGTAAAGTGCAGTTGGGGAACAATTCTGAATGCAATGTTATTGGTGTTGGTGATGTTAGAATCAGAATGCATAATGGTATCGTGAGGACATTGACTGGAGTGAGGTATGTTCCAGAGTTGAAGAAAAATCTGATTTCCTTGAGTGCCCTGGATTCAGCTGGGTGTCGATATTCTTCAGTATGTGGACTTCTGAAAATTGTTCGAGGTGCCTTGGTGATAATGAAAGGAATCAAGCATAGTGGCCTGTATGAGCTTCGAGGTGAGACAGTGGCAGAATTCGCTGCGGAGACGTTGGATGCATCTGTTCGAGAGTCTAAATTGTAGCATATGCGTTTGGGGTACATTAGCGAGAGAAGCCTGAAGGTTCTAAGTGAAAGAAATTTGCTATGTGGTTATGTGGCTAATGAACTGAATGTATGCAGGTGCTGTGATTTAGATCAACAGTGGAAAGTGCAGTTCAGTGCGATTGTTAGAGAAACCACAGAAATTACAGAATTGATTCACTTGGATGTTCGCAGGTTATCGCGGTTTCCTTCGAGGAAGAGTGCTAGATTTATGCTAACAGTTGTTGATGACTACTCGAGGAAGACTTGGGTGTTTGTGCTAAGGCACAAGTTTGATGCTGTTGTCAGGATCAGGCAGTTGAAAGCTTTGATAAAAAAGGAAACTGGTAAAACGATCAAGCAGGTGCGGACTGACAGTAGTATGGAGTTTTGCTCGAAGCTATTAAACGAATTCTGCATGAAGGAAGGCATAGTGAGACACCGCACTAATGCCAATGAACCACAACATGTTGCAAAGTTGATAAGCAAAACATTACTAGAGACGGCCCATAAAATGCTCTGTAGTGCTGGTATGGCTAGGAAATTCCTGGCGGATGCGATTAGTACGGCGAGCTACCTGAAGAATAAATCCCCATCGATTGCGATTGAATGTCGGACTCCCGAAGAAGTGTGGTCAGGTAACGTTGCTGATTATTCTGTTCTTAGAATATTTGGTTGCCCATGTTATGTTCGAGTTAGTGATGGTAACCTCGATGGAAGGGCAATGAAGTGCATGCTCCTAGGTTATGCACAAGGTGAGCGGGGCTATAAGTTGTAGTGCCCGGAATTAAATTCACCTGTTGTCAGCAGAGCAGTTAAATTTGACGAGTCTCCAGTACTTCTGGCTAGGCGTGTTAATAGCAGTGTTTATGCGGATCTGGACGGTGTTCAGCTTGAGGTGGAGTTGCAACCAGAAACTCCTGAGGTAGCGGGTACTAGCGAAATAATCGACACGGATGGTGCTTGTAGCGAGGTGGAGCCTATTGAGCTAACGGTTTCTGTAATTGCTGATATTGACAAGGTGCGTATTCAATCTCCCGATAGATATGGATGCAACGATGGTTTTGCTTTATCTGTGATTGAGGAGGTTGTGTTAGAAAATCCTTATGAAGCAGTTAAAGGTGCATGTAGAGTTGGTGTTCTGATGAGATCCACGGCTATGGGGAAGTTCAAGCGAGGCTTGGACATGGAAGACGTCTGTGGCGGTTGAGCCCATTGGGGCTGTGGGAGAGTAGTAGCGAAATTCGAATTCTATCAAAGCGATTGTGACTTGGCTTAAACGTCGAGTCAAGGTGGAGATTGTTAAAATATGTCTCGAGTTTGAGCCCTATAGACGAGTTCGATAAACGAAATCCGATTCGAGATTAATTATTATTTGTGGAGGTCTTAATATTCTGAAGTTTGGATTTCCTATGCAAGTTCGAAATCATGCATGCAGTATTTGGCAATTTTTGTTTACTAGTTGTAGACGATTTTATTTCCAGTTTGGAGTCCAAAGGATGTTGGACTCTGACTATAAAAGAAAGCAAATTGTGGACTTGTGTCAAATAAAGGAAATAAAATCCTACTTGAAGTCTGCCAAAGAAAGACAAAATAGGAAAGTCCAAACTTGGACTTGTTGACGGAATTTTATGGAATATCTCTTCCACGTTGAAGTCGGCCACTTTAATTTTCCTTGGGATATATAAGGGTTGGTCTTTTGCCGCAGGATTGGCATGCAGTTGTTGATGAATACGTGAAGTTATTCTTGAAGCGCCGCTGGTGTGCGAGTGCTTGGCGGTGGGCAATCTTTGTGGTTTTGTTCGTGGAATTACACTAAGAGTTCATGTCACGCCCCGAACCCATCGAGCTCGTGGCATCCCCCTTTGGTCGAATTAGTACGACGGCTCAGGAAACGCCGCCGACCCAAACTAACACATCAGAGATAAAGCACTAGCGAAAGCCACAAACACCCAGACAATATTTAACTAGGGGTAAAAGGGAGAATATACATCCATTACTGATTCAAACTTATACAGTATCCACCATTTACAATCCACATAATATATATGCACACCGAACTTCTAAACTTTACACCACCGATATCAAAAAGGATCAGTAGTCTAGGTCTATTCGAATTCCAAAAATGGGACACTTCAAAGGTTCACTCTACCCCTAAACTAGCCCCTACGCCCACTGGACGGCGTCCACTCCGATTCAGTCTCCTCGGAATCCAAATCTGAAACCCCCTGATCATCCTGCTCCTCGGAAGACTCCGTATCCGTCTCGATCTCAATCGGGTTGTCCTCAACACGCGACTCTAACAGAACCTCAATTCGCTCCTCCTCTTCAGACTCCTCTTCCGGCTCTTCCTCGGGCTCTTCTTCTTGTTCTTCTTTTGGTTCCTCCTCTAGTTCCTCTTCAGGCTCTTCTTCGGGCTCTTCTTCCTCTGGCGCTGCACCTAGATCCACATCCATCGGATCATACCCCGCCTGCGACTCTTCCGGCTCTGGATCAGGCTCAGCCACTGAAGGTTCGGGTGCTGCAGGTACCGGCTGAAGTCCTGACTGTGCTAGGCTCGTGTCTAGGCTAGTCATCTCGCCATCGGGAGGGGGTATGGCCGACGGATCCCAATCCCCCACTCCGTCAAAAGGGACATCGAACCCA